GAAAGTCAGAGAACGTTTCTAACCCAATACGCAGTGGTTTGGAACAAACATCCAAGTGATACCAGAACATGCTATAGGGTTTGCAATTTTAAGCTTGCGGGTACTAAGCATTTAACCTTCCAAAACTTGATACATATGTTCGGGACATCACAGACACTAGCCAGCGTGTTCGAAAACGGTATCCATGGTGCCTGAATAAATTTTCGAAACCTATAGACATAAAATTTTGGACAACAGCCCTTTCGTTACATTTTTCTAGACCGAAACATATCACGTGCTTTTGAAGAATACTGATTCAATGGCAGAAAAACGTAGTAGAACCCTTCGGATTTCTCTGTGGTATCTAATTTGCAATTGCGCCCATGTTTATTTCTGAAAATGAATTAATGCAATGTCATCGAAATGTCGTACCAATATTTGATCTGTTTCTTTAAGGTACAGCTTCTCACATCGTCGAGGAGTATAGCATTTAGTTAGTTATTTATTTACATACAGTACTTGCTTTTCACATTTGCTGTATCTCCCTCTAACGTTGACTTCAGGCAAGTCTAACGGTTAAAATTGAACCAAAAGCAGACTATTTGGCTTCAGTGGTGGCGCGCCTTGACTATTGGAGGTCAGCGGGACCAGGGGTTGTCTATTCATATATATTTTGCTTCGACAAACATATTAGCGAGGGAAGCACCTGGTAGATGTTGCCCGTTGCACCCTCCTTCCAAGAGTTTCCTCCATGTGCGTGTCCATCGCACCTTTATACCGCACAGGTGACTTGCAAGTAGGGAATCAAGTTGCCACCGTACACCACCAGCCAGTAACTCTTCGTTAATTATCCTTTGCTCCTAATTTTAACACAACCCGTAACCCTCTAAGCACGCCGTTAAAATTCTTTACCTTAGCACTGCAACTGTCTGGGGGACAGCCACGCCTACGGACCAAACGTAGAAACAGCTGTACTGAATGCATTGGTCGAGAGTAGGTAAGCCGCCTTCAGTTGAACTGCTCCAATTTAGAAACAAAGGAAGATGCAGACAACTGACTTATCCCCACGCCTTCCTCTTTATAAAGATGGCACCAGAATAATTCACCTGTTTGGCGAGTGCCAGCGCCATCCGTTTTTGACATTTAGTGGCCGCTTGACTGCTGCACACGATCCGTATTCTGAGGAGTCACTTCGCTGTATTTGCACCATGCACTAGCCAATAAACTGTGCAAAGATCGCATAGCAATCAAAGCGTTCCAACTTGTCCTTCTTAAATACGGTATTGGCGTTTCAGCTCTTCGACGACCAAGTGGCTGCTGAGAAGTGGCTGGGGCTTCACGCCATCCTCACAGTCCGTACAATTAAAGCGCTGCCCCATGCAAATAATACCTTCATGCAACGCCGACAATAAGCAACTCAGCATGCGTTTCATCAACACTTAGTTGCAAAGAGGAGCGGTATGCACGGTAGATACATTATGGCGTTTCAGTTCGTGGGAATATAACCCCGCCATACATACCATACGGGCACATCTTTCCTGGCAAGGTCTACTTCGGCCACTATCGAGGCGAAATCTAGTAAAAGTGAAAAATCCGAAGTTCCCACACCTGAAGACTGCGTTGTATAACCGGTGACTTTGAATTGCAAGGGGCTGGCTGCTGAGAATATACAACTGACGGAGGTAGTTTTTGCACAGCAGATCACCGGAGCCAATCAAAACCCATCCAAGCAGACTTCTAATGGCAAAGAGTTTGCTTCCAAGTGCTCAGCCGTTAGTGTAAAACCCAGTGGGCTTTGGGCACATCAGTAACAATTAATAACAAGTTTCTCTTGTCCCTTATTCCGTCCGAGCAAAGTTCAGCTAGATGAGACCACCTACAAGCTTCAGTTTGCATTCTATGGCCGGAGGACTGAAGCGGTAAGCCAGGTACCACGAACGCACTTACCACTTCAACTTTCTCTAGCCGGTTCAGCGAACGAACGCATTATTTTAACACTGATTCAGCAAAGGTGCAATCGCCTTTGAGTGTATTAATCACCATTGTTGGCGGCTGGGGCTCGAAGCCTAGGTGATCGACAGTCCTCTCTGAGCAGAGTGGCGGCTGCTTCCTCATCGAGCAGAGCGTGTGTATTAATTGCTCCGGTGGGCTTAACAATGATGACTGAAACACCCAGGACTACAAGGTGATACTTGTCGCTTGTGGCCTCGCAACGTGCTTGTCATGCTCCTGTTGTGTATCCTGGAGCGATGGAGCGTAGACCATGAAGCAGGCTGTGAGGACGTGAGTTACAATTGGAAATGTCAAGGTATTTTGTATACCGCAATTTTTGGCAAGGCGGCCGGACTTCAGACAGTTGAAGCACCTGCTTTATGCTTTCAGTATCTCCCATCGCTGCTGCAAGCCTAGCGCTCGGAAAATATCGCCAACCATGATATAATGGCTGCCTGAACATACTGGGTACAAGGGGCTCTATATGTCATGGAGGAGTTTCCTTATACAGCGAAAAGAGCACCTGTCGCTGGGCATTCCCTTGCTGGTACTACTTCAGAAGTGCGGAGTATTTTGTCAGCAAAATGTCTAAATCGACTGCGAACTATGCGAGCACGAGACGACACAAGTTATATTAGATTCAAAAACATGGGCTTGTAACCGCTCAGGGATAGTTGCTCTACAAGCTCGGCCCACCTATGGGGCATTACTTTCGGTAAGGCACGCCCTATCTCTTCCAACGTAGTCAACTAGTTCACATCAGCTTCATAGTTCATTTGCTTCAGGATGATGTGGCAATCCTCCTTCTTAATGGCCAGTTCCGACAGCGCATCGGCAGTGTTGCGAATTGCCAACGTGCATTGAAGTAGGCTTTCTATTGATGCCATAGCCATATGGTGGGCTTGTCCGAATACATCCTCGGAGTTTTTCCGTGCTCTATCATAACCCTAGTGTGGTGGTCGCATCACAGTTATCAACGGCCAATTTGGCTCGCCGCTTACAGAAATGTATAAGAGTAGCAGGCTTCCCTCGTTTGTAACTTTGCTCTCAACATTAAACTCAAGCTGTTACACGAAACTCCAATAATGCACGGAGCGTCCATCAAAACCAGTAAGCACGAATCCAGGCAGTTCGGTTTCTGCAGACGCAGGACGTAGAGCTGACGCCACTGCATCGTCCAAAGTGGCCTACGACACGTCAAACTTACTGTTCGTGGGTGGCTGATTCGTGAAAGTCATGGAGCAATTGCTGACGAGCTCATCGCTTATTTTCTACGGATCGGCAGGAAATACCTGCAAATCGAGAGCACATGGCTCATCTTCGTGCGATTGGCCGCATCGCGCGTATACTACATCCCGTCTGGCCTTTAAAAGCCTTCGCTGTCGGTTAGGTTCCATTTCACTAGCTTGGTGTTCTACTTTTCTGTAAGCAGCTTCTCCTTCAATTCAGCAAACAGCATTTGTGAGGGAGAACTACTGCCTGAAGACGTACAACTAACAAGAGAGCCAAGTGAGAAACCGCATCAAAAGGAACTTACTCTGAATTGTCCTACGACATTGCAAGGGTAGACCTAGCGTGACGAGCATTACGATGAAGCCAGAAACCCCAAATTGAGCAATGAAACGACCAAACGCTGTCGTTTAGCTAACGCGTAGAATACCATCCCAAATCAATCAAGAAAAAGGATTGGCTCCAAGAGCAACGGTGCTTTGAGCAAAGTATTAATTATAACTACAAAAGTAATTTAATTGGGCGCGTTCTGGGTCGAAAACAACTAGGACTGTGGTAGCGCCCAAACGAATAAATTACAAGGAATCAGCTCGTCTCGAGCCGATGATAGTACAAGTAACCAAGTGAAACTGTTGATGAACCACCGGACACCTACTTGTTCCTGATTGGAGATAAGGTATAACGATGCACAGGGCAAGAACTGACCTCATGGTTAGCAGGAATACATGGCGGATATCACGGTCAAAATCACTGAGTGAATACTTAGTCAGGAGCGATAGCATAGGGACATGATAAACCAACGTATACACATGTACACGCACACTGAAGGAGAGGAAACACAGCAGTGCCAAAGTCTCGGTGGCCACAAAATGAGAATTGTGCTTGTAGACTAGCTGCTCGCAAATGGTGAACACGTAGAGACAAGTAAACAAGTATTGAAAATCTGGGTAGCTGAAGAGTGAATCGCGAATGTGGGTTAGAAGAATTTCCGAGGTAAATCCAAATTCCAGAACAAGTAGCTTAATCCGACGCAGAAATCCCTTGAAGTACACATGTTGCACAACACTGAGGTTAAGCCTATCAGGTGATTCTCCCCTGAATACCTTCTCAGCTTTCCTAACAATTTGACTACTATGATTGTCAAGCAGACAGGTTTGTAGTTCGCCGTCTGTGCGCTGTCACCAACCTTAAAATTCGAACATATGATGGATCCTTCAACTCCCGGGATAGGACGCAGATGTCAAGTGATATTGAAAACCTGCATGTGAGGGGAGCACAAGGCTCCGCGGCCTATTATTACAGCAGGTTCGGATGACTTGAATCAGCACAGGAAACTTTATAGAAATTATTGCACTGCAGTAGCTTGAAGACCTACGTGTCCCTTGTGTTAAATTAGGCTGAGTAATAATCCTCTGGTACTCGTGAAACCGATTCAACTTGTGGACAAGTGGTCCCCAGTGCACAGGCACGAGTATACGGTTCACGAATTACACAGGATTTATCATAGCCGGATCTGCGGTGTTATTCATCCGGACCTTAGATCGCGTTATCGCTGACAACCTCGACGATAATTTATGTTTGCTATTTCGTGGGATTCTGTTATCGATCCAACCTGATGGATCAGTATGCGTCCAAATATTTGCGTAGGGTTGAATGAACTGCCATGTATCATATAACACAATTTCAGCCTCAACTTTACAGGCGAGAAATAGTAGTGTTTATTATTCAGTTCGTCGTTAAAGTTGTTTTGAATCACTGGACGTCAGTATTTCGTGGCGCGTTCGTTTGATTTTCCGAAAATGGGCGATAATTCGGCGAATGCCACCAAGGTGAGGACGTTTGCTGCGTATTTGCTTTCTTTTCCCAATCGGAAAATGTTACTTATTTTTTTCTCTAGGACGGTCAACCCGAGCACATTAATTTGAAAGTGCAGGGACAGGAGGGCTCAATAGTACATTTCAAAATCAAGAAAACCACCCCTCTTCGAAAACTAATGAACGCTTATTGTGAGCGCATGGTAAGTGGTTTTCACCTTCTATACTCTCAAGGGTTACCAACCGAGCTCAGTTCGTTTCATATTTGATGGAAATAACGTTCATGACACCCATACTCCGGCAACAGTATGTCTATCATTTTAAACGTTGATACTGTAGTTGGAAATGGAAGAGAATGACACCATTGAGGTTTTCCAAGCGCAAACCGGCGGCCTTTGTTGATTTTTGTTCCGAGGCTTCGTGTAAATGGCTATTTTCCAGATCGAAACTATCCAACCGCATTTGTATATCTTCTAGCCCCCCTGGGGTCGTCATTGCAGTACATCTTCCCGTATCAAGCGTGGTTTTGTTTTGTTCTCTGTAGTATGCATAGTTGTCTGCTGCCGGTGTGGATACTCGACACCCGGATTTACACCCAGTTTGGTCTCGGCGATGCACGCGTGCTGAACTGAATGCATCGGGCATTTGACTCTGCATCTTGTATTGTTTTTGCTGTGTTAGCACTGTTCCTTTGTTTCGTTCAGATCTCGGTAGGTTTGATCATTTCACCTCGAACTGCTGCGAGCTCTTATCGCTTACTGACACACGAAAAGGGGACGCTGGTTAAGCAAAAACATTTCCCTGGATCCTGTTTTATCAACTACCAAGGCTTGTAATCAAGACTTTCCACGTTCCTAATTGTAATTCTCTTGCATTGCGACGTTTCTGTTCCACTGGATCCACTAGACGTCTCTGCAAGCAGTCCGGCGATGTTGTGAGGACCACTGACTTCATTACAGTCCGGCTTTAATTTTTTTCCCATCACAGGGAGATTGAAACTCACCAGGGTGCTGCATTTTTTGTACCTCTCTTGGACTATCATGTGGGACCCTATGACGTCCTCAAGCGAATGATTGTTCCGCTTATTTTTTGGCGCCGTGATAGTATACCGGCCTACGTACAACGCTTTATTTGTCGTCGACCTGCGATCGCACCCTGAAGTGTCGACAAGCGAAAACCTGCTACTGTTAATGCCATTTTCTTCCCTCCTGTTTGCTTACACCTTCCTTGCTTTTGCTACTAACATTTCCATTGTAATGGACAGTAACTGCGGTTATTCGCTAGTTCGAGAACGTACTCTTTTGTCCCAAAAGTGGTCCAAAAAGTAGGTTTCATCATCTTGGAAAAGTCGATAGTCCTCCCTATCTTCGGAAGGGCTTATGCACTATGTGCTCCAGCTATCCTCAATATATCGTAAGGAGAAGTGTGAGGATGCACATTTGACAAAATTTAGCTTTTCAATTTTTCTCTCGGAAGGTATAACGTCCAACTACGCGGACTGTTGTAAGTTTGTCACTTTCCGGTCAAAGACCATCCAATGCGCCCTCTGCGAGAGATGGACGCACTTAGTATGCTGTAATATTGACCATCATCTTCACAAATGTCTTCAGCATACTGGGTCAAAAGGCAGCTTTCATTGCGACCCGGGTCTAGCGGTCGTTAGCTACAGAACTTCTTATGAATCTTCACCCTTTCGGTATAAGTACAGTTTCCGCACAAGCCGTGTCCAATTCTGACAGCTTGACATCTGTGTCATCAGTGAACTTGGCCGGGTCTGGTTATTCTACACCCAAAGTAACGAGAAGCCGCGCCTCCTCCGCTGCATTGACGACAACACCGCTGTCCAGTGAGAATAATAGTGGACTTAATAATAAGCCCAAGGCCTCTGGCACACTAGCGAGTGCCAGCACCTCAACGACAAAATAATGCCAGCCGCAAACAGGTCCACGAGGAAAAGGACCTCAACGCCTATACCGAAGGTCCAACCAAGTGAAACAATATATTCGCTCTCCTTCCATCACCTAATACGTCTGCCTCAACGACTTTAACTATAAATCGTAGTCAGAATCATTCCGCCCCTTCCGCAAAACATATGCCATCTGAGATACAGTGCCCACAGCAAAACGTATGCCTCCGTCGTGTGTCAGAGAACGAGAACATTTACAACTTTGCAAAGATAAAACGAATAAAGCGTCTGAACCTAGGATCCAGAAAGACTCCTCACGGTTACAACTTAAACTGCTGCTAGACAAGATGAATCGGCTACAGAATATTATGGCAGATCCGAGTCCCACAAAGCCAACTAGTTCTGCAGGAGTTAGATCCGCTCTTCGAGAGCGCCGTCTTATCATTGTCTGCCCCAGAGTCTGATAGGGAAACGCCATCGGAGACAATTCTGGACGACGAAAAATTCTTATAACCAATGGTCCTACTATTGTTGGATGCCGGATAACCGGCAATCAACATATTTTCCGCATTTCGTTTCGGCAGGGGGAAAGTCTCGTCTTTTAAAAATTGTCTGCCACGACCATTACTGTTTGGGAGCAGCGAGAAGGGATCTCTGTGTAGCTGCATCTATTAGGTTGTTAATAACGTTGCTGCGCTTTTTAATCTCCAACTATAATGCACGTATCTTGGCTCAGAGGTAACGCTTTTACTCGAAGTAATAACCATTTGAATTGACGCACTTATGCCTTAGGGATACAAGTTTATTTATTCCGGATGATTACAGTTCCCTAGTCCTCATGGCGATGAAATCGTAGCAGGCGGTTTCAGCATCTACTTGGGTCTTAAAACTTTTCGTGGGAAGTTATCCATGTGCTGGAAAAAGTATTAATCGGTAAGCTGGAAGTCAGGGGAGTATGGTAGGTGAAAAATTTTGTACCTCAGCTCTTGTGGCTACCGCATGGTTGTTTGTGCGACATGCGACCGAGCCTTATCATGGAGAAGAACTGGCACCTATCTGTTGCCAGCGCCGGGCACCCCTGTTTTCGGTGCATTTCGACAATTTTATCGGCAATATTTCTCCACTGTAATGGTTTTTCTTGGATTTAGGAAGGTGTTATGGATCAGACCACCCGCAGACGACCAAAAAGCCACCATAATCTTTTTGGGTGCAAGTTCGGCTTTGGGAAGTGCTGTGGAGGTTGATCGTGGTCTAACCATTGAGAGGTTCGTTGTCGATTGTCGTAAAGGATCCACTTTTCATAGCAGTTCACAATCATGTCGAGAACTTGGTCATTTTTATTGCGCAGAAGAATGGCAGACGACATCTCAAAGTAACATTTTTTGCTTTTCTTTTAATTCATGCGACACCCACTTATCCAGCTTTTTCAACCTTCCAATCGCTTGTAAATGTTTTATTAGTAACATGCAGTACTGATAATCCAGCAACAATTTCTCGAGTAGTTTTGCGCGGATCCGCTTTTCAGTTATGACAATTGCTGCAGCCGCCGGCAAGGCCGCGCGACCTTTCGTACGAGAGACGAATCTCTTGATACCCGGCTGCGAAATGTAGAGCGTTCGTTTTCGATGCTCTCAGATCTTCGCTTTAAGATTGATCTGCTCACGAAGACGCTTCTAATCTCCAACAACGCAGATTTGATGGCCAACACTGATGATCAACTTGTGGCACCAATCATTATGTCACCGGTCCAGATGGCTACCGACCACAAGAATGAAGCAGCTTCGGACGTCGTATCTAAAGCTAACCTGATCGACGCCGAATTGCTAGTTCAAGGGTCCCTTCGAGTAAAGCGAAAGAGAGCCAGGAAACCCCGTAAGCTCTCTGCTAAACAAGAAGTTATAGTTGTCTCGGCACCGGAAACAAGCCAAGTGTCGTTACTTGGCAAACCGTCTGACGGTGGTGCGAAGGGGAAGATTCCAACACGCATTACTTGTCAGCCGATGGTGCCGGTAATCTCGGTTCTCACCGAGAAGGCATGTTCTGAAAGTTTGCCTCCTTTTGCCCAAAGCGAAAAATCCTCCCGGGACCCTGCTCCTGTTATCAAGAAGAAAAAGCAGACCAAATCTGCCATCAAGCCTTTCGGTAAAATCGATGACCCTAACAAAAGGATGGCATCGACGATGGAGCGAAAAACATACGCTGCCGTTGCTACCTCATCTGAGGGTCTAAAGACAGTCCCAGCACCAGTAGTGAAGCCACCTGCTCCAAGTATCGAATCAAAGACCCGTGGGGTTAATACTCCCCATCGTGGCGATTCTTTCACGGATAGTAACGTTATATTCCGTAACGCGGCTGAATCTACTGCTCTCCTTCCTGTTGATCGCATGTTAGACGACCTTCAATGGTTTAAAATGTGCCTAACGAAGCTACTTCCGCCTGGTTTTCCAGGCGTTACTGTCAGGAAGCTGATTAGACTGGGGAACGTCTCAGTTAATGTACCAAACCCGCGACCGCGGCTACTTCCTGTGGTACTCTCTACCCCGGAGGAACGTAGCGCTCTCATGCGGTTTGCGTTTAAGCTGAAAGGTACAAATATTAGTGTTCAGCCGGACCTTCCGCTGGCCGATAGGCTGAAGCTAAGGGAGGCCATCAAGGACCTCAAAAGTAGGCGAGCAGCCGGTGAACAGGGTCTCCGGTTAGTGGGTTTTCGGGTGGTCAGCCGGCGGTCTTTTTCCGCCCTACCACTGGCCATTCTGGTAGCGCACGACCCAAGTCTGGATCTAATGAATACCTTCAGATAGTGTTAACTAATGTGCGCAGCCTAAGGAATAATGTGTACGAGTTAGGTCTGCTTGTAGATGGGTCTCATCCCGATATACTCGCATTCACTGAAACTTGGCTTTCTCAGGACATCACGGATGGTGAAGTACATCTAGCTGGCTACGCACTATTTAGGTGCGATCGCTCTGCTGGCCGACAGGGAGGGGGCGTCGCTCTTTATGTGAGCTGTAAACTTGACGTTTTGAAGACTTGCTTATTTCAGTCGGCAGACAAAACTGTTGACGCTCTGTCGGCTGTTATTAGCATATCCTCGGCTCAAGTTACAGTTGTAATTGTGTATAGAAGCCCTGGGAGCGTATGCAAAGAGGTACTTGACTTCATTCGCTCCCAGTCCACAAACAATTGTTTGGTGATGGGAAACTTCAACCACCCAGAGATTTGCTGGGCAGATCTTTCTTGCGACTCAGCGTCAGGCACATTCGGCGCTGATCTGCTTGAGCTTACGCTCCAAGTATCTTTGCACCAGTTCATTGACCTCCCCACTAGGTACATGGACGCCCAATTACCGTCTATCTTAGACCTTTTATTTGCTAAGTCACTCGGTTTTGTTGGTGACATT